ATAAGGTCCTGGTAAGGCCAGGACATACCAGGTCGAGTATGGGGCCGGTTGCCTATTTCTCACTCAATGACTTTCCCAACTTCCACTCTAGTTTCGTGGTCTTCTTTTTTGGATAAAAGCATGAACCCATACATCTCACTCATTGTAACATACCGATTTGCTTGATTTCATTCTCCAAAAAGGTGTGGAGAATGTTTTTGGCTATATCTCACAAGGAAGAGTAAATGATGGGGTGATGAACTTATTATTCAAAAGTGAGAATACTAAAATGTATTTCCAAACCAGAAACACAGCAACAAACCCAACTAAAGAGTGAAACTAATCAAAGGTATGCATAGTAGAAGGGATTCGGCGTTCAACAAGATACCAACTTTAACGAACGAATGGGTCCTAATCTGAGAGAGAGAGAGAGAGATTTCTTTGAGGATACCTCAATAAACTTTATGCAGGGGAAAAGCCAAAAAAACCAATATAACCAACTTCCAGAAACGGAGAGAAAAAAAGATAAATCCTAGAGCAACCTAGAGCTTCACAACCATTAAGAAGAAGGCTCTAAGATCACGGATTATGCCAAAATCAATCTAGTTTTGCTAAATTTCCTATTTTTCTCATCAGACAAGGAAAATAATAATTTACCTCAAAAGACATATGGTGAGATTTAATTCTCAACTTATTGAACTTTCTGAACCCACTGAAAAGCGAACAAGAGCAACCAAAATCAATTATTCTCATTAGAAAAGATATTCAGAAAATAGAGAGGGAGAGAGAGAGAGAGAGAGAGAGACCTGCATGAGAGAGAAAGAGGGTTCCTCCGCAGAACTGTGGGGAAGTCGAAGATGGCTGAGGGAAAGGGAAGCAAAGATTCCATAGCCAAGGCTCCCTCCCTCCTTTCCCTCAATTAATTGCAGAGCAGAATGAAAAACTCTTGCATCAAGAGTGCGAACTTCATTCAAATGGGCGCAAATAGCTGCTCAACATTGCAGATTTATTTTTATTTTTATTTTTTTTCGAGAAAATCGCCCATAACCCCAAAAAAAAAATAATAATAATAAAAATAAAAATATACATATATATATATATATATATATAAATAAATAAAATCCCAAAACCTCCCAAAAACCACTTTTTCTATGTAACTTACCTCAACTTAAATTTGTCTCTCACTGTTTTACGAAAAACAAATTTTTCATACAGACACCCCCAAAGTTTTCCAAAAAACAAATTTTTCATACAAATACCACCATAGGAAAAGTTTATGTTTTAGACGGAAATGTCTTTCTCGTGCACAAAAATTATTTTGACCAGATTTGATGTTGACTTTTGGACCTCAATTGCACATTGCCGAAGCGCACCATCCTCAACCTTTCAGAATTATTTTATTTTTTATTTTCTTTTAGAAAATTGGCTATAACCCAAAAAAAATATATAAAAAAACTCATAAAACCACATTTTCTATGTAACTTACCCCAACTTAAATTTATCGCTCACTTTTTCCCTAAAACAAATTTTCTATACAAATACCTCCATGGGAAAAAGTTCATTTTTTTAGACGAAAATATCATTCTCGTACACAACAATCATTTTGACTAGATTTGATGTTAACTTTTGGACCCTATAGTACAGTGCTGGAGCGCACCATCACATTGCTGAAGCACATAAGTGTCGGACCGCCCATAAGACAACTATCGAACCGACCTTTACATAGTGCTGGAGCCCTGGAATCCACTAACATCTATTGTCAGACCGCCTTTTGCAATTGCCATACCGCCCTATGCAACTGTCGGACCGCACTTTACACATTGCCGAAGCTCATAAGTGTCAGACCACCCTAAGACAACTACCGGACCGACCTTTAGACAGTGCCGGAGCCCTGGAATCCACTAACATCTATTGCCGGACCGCCCTTTGCAACTGTCGGACTGCACTTAACACAGTGCTAGAGCTCTACTGCTGGACGGCACTTATACAATGTCTGGAGCCCCTATTTTGGTGGGATAGATGAGAGAGAGGCGTAGGTAAGGTAAAAGTAAGGGAGGGTAATTTAGTAATTTTTTTATTTATTTTTTGTTAGGGGTATTTGCATAGAAAGTGTATTTTGGGGAAAAAAATATGTGAGAAACACTTAGGTTGGGGGTAAATTGCATAGTGTAATCTTTTGGGTTTTTTGTAATTTTCCAAAAAAGAAAAAAGACTTTCTCGACTACTTCCCCGAATTCTTTTTTCACACATATTATCCTAAAAACAATCTTCTAACAAATAACCTTGAGTCAAAAGTTATAGTTATTTGGACCAAAATGCCCTTGTCTATATAAGTTATGTTACATCCTCATATGATGTGAAACCAAACGTTAAGTGCCGGAGCGTGGTTAAAAACTGCTAGACCAATACAATAAACCCAGTCGTCTGACCCCAATGTATTGTTGTCGGGCTGCGGTCATCTTGTGCCGGACCAAGGTAGAAAAGTACCGGACCAAAGTCATCTTGTGCCGGACCACCTTTCCTTTTGCTTGACCGACAACATAAACATAGAGACAACTGTTGGACCGCCTTTCTTGTTGGCGGACCCGAGTTCATGTGTACAGAGCGGTAAAGGTTAAGGGAGAGTACTTTGATCTTCATTATACTTTTTTATTTTTACTTACAGGAATTTACTAAGAAAGTTAAATTTGATATAAAAGTTACTAAAAAAACCTTGGTTGGGGGCAAGTTGTCTCGAAAGTTTTATTTTAGGGGATTTTTACAATTTTCTCTTTTTTTTTGGTTGAGTAAGTAGAGTATAATCACTTACAGCTTTGGCGGTAGTATTGTTGAGCCCTTTGATGTTTGTGACTCCTTTTTCACCAAAAGGTAAGAGCCCAAATCTCTACTGACTTTACCACTTTTTACTTACCCAAATTTTTTTTTGAAAGTATATCATTGTCTAGGGACTATCGGGATTATAGTTCATTCCGGTCTCACACCGTCCCATGAAGTTATGGATGGTGAAGATAGAGGGGAACCCACAAAATGGATCTGAATCTCTCTCTCCCTCCATTGTTGCGCACATGTTTCACTCGACAATAATGAGTCCCATGGAATGTGACATTTTCCAATTAATAATAGGACCCAGTTTCTATGCCAAGCGTGCATATGTAGAAATACAAGAGCCTCATAATAAATCTATTTTTGAGATGGATTTTAAGACTTAATTTTTAAAGACATGTAATTTCTAACGTGGAGATCATGAATATGAAAAAATAAATAAATTTTAAAAAAATAATAATGATTCTAGTAAAAAAAACATTTGGCCCATTTGTTTCCATTGTTTTTAGATCGAACACTTACTTGCATCCATCTTTAAGATGGATGCTTTACACTTTCTGGACCAAATATGTAGAAATGTAGTCTAGCCCGCGTGAAACAATTTTCCTTAATAATATGACATTTTCGTATATAGTGGGTTGGGTGCCCATTTCATCCAGGGCCTCTAGCTCAACATGTCTCAACTTGACTCTTGGCACACTCATCTTTAGATAGCCGATAGGGATTGTGACTCTTGAGGAATAGTAGCTGAACTTCTAATTAGTTATTTTGATAAGGCTGCAGCCCTATCAAACCATTTTTCCAGGAGGAAAACATTAATAACATTTCATTCACAGTGATCAAACCTTGTTTTCCCATGTTTCTCGATCTTTTTAATACACAACGGCTGCATCCTCTTTACGAATGCGCTTTTAATTCTCTTATTTCATATGACCGCATTCTTCTTTACTTGGGATTTTTAGGTTTTTATTTGGTTTTATTGTAAAATCATTGGGAATAACAAAACTTTTGGGGGCTGTTTAGGTACTTGAAAATACATTTCCATAAATGTATGTCAATGGAAATGGCACATTTCTAGCATCTTGATCAAAATTTTGGGATTAAATGCATTTCCGCCTTTTCATTTCAAGCCAAAAATAAAGAAATCTATATTATTGTCTTTACCCTTCGAAATTGATTTCCACCTAGATTTTCCTGTTATGAAGACATCCATTTTATAAAATATAATTAATTTCACAAAAACACCCCCATAAATTAGACAGAGAAAATATTTTAAATTTTATGTTTTAGAGAGAGAAAGTATCCTAAATTTTAGGGGGAGAAACTATTTCTAATTTAAGAGAATGAAACTATTGAAATTTTTTAGATAGAGAAATTATCTTAAAGTTTTTATAGAGAGAAACTATTTCAAATTTTAAGTTTTAGAGAGAGTGACTATATCAAACTTTAGAGAGAGAAGTACCTAAAAACATTTTAAAGA